CAGGCTGCGCGGAGCCCGACCCTGGGCCGGGCCGGGGCGGGGCGGGGCTGCGTCCTGACCTCGCAGCAGGAAGAAAGCTGCCCGGACGCTCAGTGACAGCGCCCCTCCAACAGCTCACCAGACGCTGCACTGAACCTGGTCCCTCCGCTCCCGGCAGCTCCTGCGCTGTGGCTGAGAGCAGGCCCTTAGGCAGCACCCCGCGGACCGCACCAAGCGGCCCAGCAGCCCTAGCCCTGCTCTGCCCCCGGCAGCGGTAGCAGGGTACGGGGGCGCTGAGCAGAGCACAGGCCCTGGGCCCTGCTTCAGGGAACAGGGGCGGGAGTGGCACCAGAATGAGCTAAAGGGCACCTCACCCTTTCTCCCGCCCCCTTCCCTGCAGCACCTCTGGCTCAGGCTCAGCAGCAGGGAAGGCAGAGCAACAGCAGTGAGCCACTGGCCAGGGCAGCAGCAGCAACACACCTGAGGCATCACTAGGCAGCTGTGCCTGATGCCCAGAGCAGGGCCAGCAGCTGCAGTGCAGGTGGCAGCAGTGCAGTTGTGGTCATTTTTACACCCTCCCCTCTCCCCAAAGGCAGCAGCCAGTGGGTAGTACAGGCATGTGGTTGGAGGGGAGGGAAAAATGCTGCCTCCTTTTCTTGCTGCCAAGTCCAATCAACACGTCATTTAAAAAGGTGACATCTCCCCCTTGCTCTCCATGCTGTTACCACCCAGGATGCCTCTGCTGAGTGCTGACCATGGATGTTTCTCCTTTTCCCTTCCAAACAGCCTGACTGTTAGATCAGCTCTCGCTATCCCCCTCCTCTTTCCCATCACAAACCCAGAGGAGAAAGGCTTTTACTGAGCAAGAAACCTGCCTCACGTGCAGCTTCAGTATGCCAGAGGACACTGGCAATATTCCGTCCTTCAGAAGCATAAAAAGTCATCCCCATGCCAGCATCACTCCCTGAGAGCCAGTGCTTCCCCATTGCTAAGGGTTGCTTATGCTTTGCAAAAGAAGAGGCATGAGGCAGGGGACCTGATGCAGGTTTTTCTGTACATAAGTGTTTTTGACACCACAGCCTGTTGCTTATAATAAAACAGAAATCAGAAAGAGCAGCCAGAATACACACCCAAAGGCAAAATCCCTCGGCTTAAAAAAAGGAGCTGTCTGGTCCCAAGGATGGGGAGGCAGACAGCCAGGGGGTCCAAGGGGTGGGGCTACAACTGCCCTGGCTGGGAAGAAACACAACACAAAGAAAAAAAATCCACCCAACATTCCCACTGCTGGGCAGAGGAGAGCCAGAAAACAGATTGTCCAGTCCTTAGAGTCCTTGTTAGCACCTGTACAATAAAACTGTACCATCTACATACAGCGGCGCAGCCCTGCTCCGCTCCTGTCGGGGGCAGGCACCTGCCACCTCCAGCCAGCTCTCTCCAGTAGAACTGCTCCTATAAAACAGAAGAAAGGGATGTGTGCAGGGTGGGAATGTAAGGGCCTGTTTGGTGCAGACACATCACGTGGGGAGGACATGGGCCATCTGCAGTGTAGGCCTCAAGGATAGAAAGTGTCTGGAGCCCCCCCTGCCTTGGGCTTAGAAGCTGCTCAGAATCCTGGGCTGCAGCTGGCTCTTGTAAAGCAGCTCAAGGGAATCCAGAGACAAGTAGCATGAGTGAAATGTATGAACCAGCCTGGGGGGTGGCTGGGGGAGCCTGAAACATAGGGGTGAGGAGGGGAAGGCATGGCTCTCAGCTGGCCTCATTGATGAATGGCCCCAGCAGAAGCCAGCTCCAAAACTGGTAGGGGGAGTGGCAGCCCACAAGACCCATTGCTCAACTTGGTGCCAGTTGTGAGAGCTGGTCCCTTCGATATCATGACTTGCCAGGTCTGTAGACTGGGAAGTATCTGCTCTTAGAAGAGCAGGATCCTCTGGGAGTGTCGGGGGGGGGGGACAGGATCTGAGGAAGCCCTCTTCCCATAGCCCAGGGCTCACATCATCACAGTGATACAGACTCAGCAGAAACAAAGAAAACATTACAAATTAAATACTAATTAAATAAATACTATGGAAGACATTGGGAAGGGGAGGGCAGACAGAAAGAGATGTGGTTCCATAGGGCAGGGTGGTTGGGGCAGGGCTGGGCAGAAGCACCCACTACCACTCACTTCAGTAGAGCCTGTAGCTGGTTATCTAGCCAGGAACCCAGCTAGTACAGCCCAGTGGGTGGGGCCCAGCTTCTTGCCCTAGCTGGAAGGGGCTAGCAGAGAGCTGCATTTGCTGCTGCTGCTCATCACAAAGGGACCCAGGGAAATCCTTGGAGATCAGTGGCATCTCTCCCCATTTAGAGCTTAGGCGCCAGAAGGAAAGGAAAACGAATTGGCCAAAGACTCCAAGTCCCTGCTGCTGGCATTGAGAAGGCTGCTTCCCACTGGTCCATATTATTGCCTCATGATGCAGTCTAATGCAGGGAAAGATTCATTCCCCGTCAGCTGCTCCAGGCCTGGTACTCCAACACTGAGCCCAACAGCTGCAGCAGCTCAGGCTCATATCGCACCAGCTCCACTGTCTCTGCAGCACCCTGAGCAAGTGGCTCTGGGGTCTCCTGCAACTCTTCCTGGGCCAGCACCTGGCTGAGGGACACCTGCCGCTGGAACTCCAGCTTGGGCAGGGTGGCGATTTCAAAGTGCGGGAAGCGAGCCTGAAAGATGCGGGAAGAAAGCTTCAGCCTCTTGAGAACATCAGAGAAGAGAAACCAGTTGCAGGGCCTGTAAGGGCAGGAAGAGACATGTTAAAAGAATTAATTCTGCACCCCCCCTTTCAACCCCAACAATGTCAGGGCCTAGGCTTTCTAGTTTGAAAAACCAGGCCTGACCTCAACCCCATGGGTGTAGCCCTCCGCAGGTACAAGAAGCCACTAGCTAAGCTACCTGCATGCAGGTACACTTTGTAACCAAATGCCCTTGGAGCAGTCACATGCCAGCCCGTGCCCCATCATGCCTCCCTGCTACAAGCAAACCTAGAGAATCCAAAAAGGAGAAGGACAAGTACCCCAAGTCCCACCTTCCTGGTGCTACCAAAACTGTTCCCTGCTCATCTTCAAATCCATATGTCCTCACTCCCTCCTTCACTCCCAGGGTCCAGTACCCACCTCACCCTTCCCAGAAAGGAGGAGTTCACTGCACACTCCCATGTCACAAAGCCCCAAGGAATAATCCTGCATATTGGTTTTCATGTAGTTGGGACTTGCTGCTTCTGCATTCACCTGATAAAGAAAATGCAGCCTCCCCCAACAGACAATCTAGAACAGGTTCTCTCTCTGTATAAGCCATTGGCAGTACTGGCAAAACACTGTGCCAAATGGATGAAACTTACAAGCCAGAAGCCCAAGATTCTGGTGACCAAATTCCACAGAACAGCTCCCTGCCCAGAGTGCCTCACACACTCCTTCAGCTGCTCACCAAGCTCTATGGTGGCTTAAAGAAACTACCTGCTCAGAAAGCACAGCTCTCTCTGGGCATTTGGTCCCTGCAGTTAGTCAGAGCCTCCAAGATTCCTCTTATGGGAGTTGCAAAGTGCCCCTCCGCAGTGGGCCCTTTTGGTTAATTCTCATTGATGCTCCCTGTGAAATCATGAGTGATCAAGAATCCAGAAGCCATAGACAGTAAATCTTGTTAGCCAGCAGTGGCTGTCCCGAAATGTCATCAGCTTCTCATGGCACTTTCCTCTGCTAACCACTATGTGGGCTGAGACTCAGTCAAGGCCCTTCCCAAATGTTACTGACTGTTTTACCCTGTATGTATTTGATAAATAATGTCTGGAGCAGTTGCCACAGGTCAGTGGGGCTTGTGCCCTTTGTGGTTTGTTTATGATGCATCAGCAGAGCCTAAAATGTCTCCCTCTTCCCCACACATGGGTTTTCATTTCTTCTTTCTTTTAAACATGAGCAATTAAGAACTGTTAAGGCAGAAAGGCATTAGGATGACAGAAGAATTAGCAAAACAGTGAAGTTACAAAACTTCAGAAACTGAAAGCTGAAAAACTGAAAATGAGGTATTTTTCACTTTTGTAATAATAATGATGATAATAAAAATCACACCATAATTAAATAGGTTTAGAAGCTGGTTTATTCTAATTCTTGCAAACCTCAAGCATGGACACTCAAGCTAAGGCCCTAGGGCTCAGATCAACATCAAGAGTGTCTATACCTGAGGCCTTCAACATTCAGCTATTTCAGAGTTCAACTCATTCTAGTAATTGATACAACCTGTTGTGTGCAGAAAGCAAAGAAAAAAGAACATAAATCCCCCACATTCCAGCCCTTCCTTTACCTTATAAAGTAAGTGGACATCACAGCAGGAGAGGCCTAATTTTTTTTAAATCTCCTTTTCAGGTCAGTGCTAATTAAAAGTCAAAGAAAAACAAGCAACAGTTCTACAGCATCTCATTCAGGCACTGCAAATGGATGGAGCCTTGGAGTATCTCATTCCCAGCTTCTACCCCAATCTGGGCTCCAAAATGAGTGTGCTGCATGTGTCAGATTTACTTGCGTCCAAACTTCCAATATCAGCTTTTGCCCAAGTGGAAGTTAAACATTAAACGTGGCCACTTGTAAATGCTCCTGCATCAGCAGTAACCCACTGGGTGATGAGCCACACAGTGGGATTTGGAGTTGAAGTATTCTTCTGCACAGCCATCTATCCTATGCATGAATGTATGCCCATTCAAGCAGCTAGGAATGTGTAAGTGTGTAAAGATTTGCATTCTTCTAAGAAGGAGGGAAGAGGAGTGCTCATTTCTACATTCTTAATCTTTCATGTCTTTTTTTTCAGTTTAAGCAAAACAGGCCTCCTGCTGGCAGTCAGAGAATGTTTCAGTGGAGTTCTTTTCACCACCACCGATAGGCTGAGAATATCAAAGTGTTCTACATTATGTTGTGATTCTTCAGTCAAGGAGAACTTACTGCTGAACAAGAATTTAGTGGCCTGAATATCTCATTCACCTCAGTGGAGCACAATCACAACCAACACTCAAAATGATGGCCAACACTCACCTTGTCAGTAAATTTAATGTTGATAATTTTAACAGACACCCACCCAGCTAATGTGCTTATCTCATAGTCTCAGATTATCTTCCCCAGTGCCACAAACTACCATCAATGCTTTCTAGTCATCTCTGATGACTTTGGAAGTCTAGTTGTTTGACAAGTGCACAAGTGATGATGAAGAGACTCCAGGACTCATGCTGCAAAATTGTCTAGTTTGCCACAGACAGACAGCACCTTGACTACAAAAGATACCTAGTTGCATCTATAACTAAGGAGCCTTCACTGACCCCCCAGAGTTGGTGCAGTCTGTGGTGCACAAGACCCCTCCACAAACTTTTAGGTGATATATTGGCTGCATTTTACAGAGGGAGAAATAGAAGCTAAGTGTTCAGAGGCCTGGTTTGCACTAGAATGCTTTGCCTCCCCTCCCCCATGGCTACCAATAAGGCCGCTTCAAGTTTACTGTCAGTTCTGGCACTCCCACCAATGGAGCAAGCACTGTGTTTGTAGCTCAGAGCGTAATTAGAATGTGAGGTACTTAAGGAGGAAAAAGAGCAGCAGCCCAGCGTGGTGTCTACATAATTGTTGCTGGTACAACCACAGTTGGATACAAACAGTGACAAGTGCCACGACAGAGGAAAAACCCAGGACAAGTTTCCTGGTGTATGCAAGGCCTAGGTACTGCTGTTTGGCAAAAGTTGAAGACAGAAACTCAAAACCACAGTGAATTTTGGTCTTACTGGCATCATTCATTCTTTTATAAACCCCTGCCTTATTTCCTTTCTAAATCATATAGTGCACACCTTTTGATTCTCCTGTATGGAATTCTCCCATTCCACATGACAGCTTTCTCTCTGTTCTTGCCTTGGCTTTTTCCACCTCTACAATGCCCCTCTGGAGAGCAGGGAACCAAACTTAAAGACCCAAACTGGATAAATAGAGAGAGCCTCTGTGCCAGGGGTGGGCAATTATTTTGGGTGGAGGGCCATTTAACAAATTCTGGTGAGCTGTCGAGTGCCACACACACAAAATCTTTTAGAAGATATCATTTTAGCAAATTATAGATAAAAAATAAATCATATACTATCATATACTATCAAGCATCTCTTACAACATATTTTAATTTTATTTCAAAAAATATTTTTGTCCTGATTTGTTTTTTTAAGTACTGTATATAGAGGTGATTGCATAACAGCTCAAAATAAAATGTTACTCTTCTATATTGTGTGCAGCAAGGTGGGGTCGGTGTGTGGGCGGCTGCTAGGTCCTGGGGGCCAGCTGGGGATGGAGAGGCAGGGGGCATGTGCAACAAACCTTGCCCAGGTGGTGCAGGTGCAGTCTGCCCTCTCCCCTTCCATCCGGCCCACGGCTGCCCCCATGGCACTCTGCATGGGCCTGAGCCCTGCCTGCTCCCACCCCGGCGCAGCCTGCACTGTGCTCCTACCCATGCCCACCAACCTCAGTCAGCACACACAGCTTTCCACTGGGGAGGCTCCCAGTGTGGCTGCAGCTGCCCAGGTATTGCTTGGCTCCCCCCCGCCTCCAGCAGCTCTTCCTCCTTCTCCTCCTCCTCCTGCGCTGCTCCAGGTGGAGAGGAAGCTGCAGCTGGGCAGATCCTGCCCCAGTGTGCAGGGTGCCAGCTCTAGCTCCCAGCTGCCTTCCACCTATTTGGCAGCCCACAGGTGGCTGCTCATTGTGCCAAGCGGGCAGAGTGGGTGGAAAGCAGTTGGGAGCAGGAGCCCCATGTGCTGGGGCTGGAGCCACCTGGCTGCAGCTTCCCCTTCACCTGGAGCAGCGCAGCAGGGGCAGGAGGAAGAGGAGTTGCTGGAGGCAGAAGAAACTTAGCAGTACCCATGCGGCTACAGCCACACTGGGAGCAGCCCTGCCTGGAAGCTGTGTACTCTAGCCAGGGCTGCAGGACTGATGGGTGCTTGGTGCAGGCTTTCCCAAGCAGGAGCAGGCAGGGTTTGGCCCCATATGGAATGCCCCAGGCTGAATCCAGTCAGTTGGTGCGTGCTCATCTGTCGGCCAGATCTAGCCTGCAGACCATATTTTGCCCACTCCTGCTCTACGGTAATCTCCACCCAACACTTAACAATGCCTGAACACTTATTTGCTTCTTTGATTTTGGGTTTACAATGCTGACATTTCCTCACGTCCACTTCCATAATGGAATAGCCCAGTACTATGCACCTTTATGAGACAGTACTTCAGTGGACAGTGCACCAGAATGGAAACTAAAAGACTTGAATTCTATTTCTGGCTCTGCCACTGACACACCAGGGGCAACTCTCCATTCCTCTACCTCCTTATCTGTAAAACAGAGATAAGGGCATTTCCCCCAGTCAAGCACTCTGATATCTACAATGAAAAATGCAAGGTAAGTGCAATATATCAGCTATCTCTATTGTGTTTCTATAATGCTTGCCTTGTCTCTCAAATGCACTCAAGCACGCATCATCCATTGCTCAGTATATGGACATCCCATGTACCCTGCCTACTGTTCTCTCTGCCCCCTTAGAGGGCAGCATGGGATATTCTTGCCCTCTCAGCTAACCAGGCAGGTGCATGTTCTCTGTTTCACTGACTTCCCCATTTCTCAATTAGATCAACTTGCCCCACCCTGGCCAGAAGTCCAGCAGTTCTTAATATTTTTAAACTTTAGAAAATGCCAGCTCTTAGTTTCCATTCTCTTTTTGAGACAGCAAAGTGATTCTTGTGTTGTAAAGAACTCTGAAATACCGCAACAGGTCAAAATGGTACCTAAACTATGGATTCCTATTTGAAATGTCTGGGTTTGTCTTGTGAATCATATGCAAGTGTTTAAACACCTAACAGTACTAATATTGCATAACATTTGCAGCACCCTGGTTGAGAATCTGCTCCACTTGGTACATTTCTGCTTCCCAAATTTCTCGGTCCCAGAATCTGCTGTGCAAAGACTAAGTGACACTTACCCTCGGGAAACTGACACTTGGAGGTTGTAGCTGGGAAGCAGAGGCTTGTCTGAGAACTCAAACATGAATGTGTCAGAGTCTTGTTCTTCTTCTTCTTGATCCGAATTTCCAGGAGGATTGAGCAGAAGGTTGCAGCTAATCCCATCCTTTCCCTCTGAAAAAAGCAAAATTGGGTGTTGGCAACCCCCATGCTTTCACTCTAGCTGACACACATTTCCTTGGGAACTAGTGATGACATGGAGGGAGGGACAGAAAAAACTCCCAGCACCAGGAGTATAATTCAGGGCCCCTGCACAGCAATGCAGGCTGGGACAGCCACATTCTTACTGGGCTGAGAGCAAAAATAGGCAATAATACATTTCACATGGTTCCATGAGCCTATGAGTGGCTTTATCTGCCTGATTATGATTTGGTCACTATGAGATCAATGGAGCCTGCATTGTCACAGTTTCATAGTTGGTAGGGTCAGAAGGGACCTGAGCAGATCATCAAGTCTGACCCCCTGCCATGGCAGGAAAGAGTTCAGGGGGTCATCCAGCCTCCTTTTAAAGACCCCCAGGGTAGAAGCCAGCACCATTTCTCTTGGAAGCTGGTTCCAGATCCTAGCCGCCCTGACAGTGAAGTAGCGCTGAACACTGTAGGGGGGTCTCACACTTCCTTTTACCCCAGCATCTAGGTAAATAAGAAGCTGGTTCCCCTTCCCCCAGGGCCGGATTAACCCTTTAGTGGGCCCAAACACACTCGTGAGCCCCTACTTAATACTGTATATTTATTTTACTTTATTTTCACTCAATAATTACAACATATAAAATAAGCACAACTGGGCCCCTTCTTCACTTAGGGCCCTAGGTATGTGCCTAGTTTGTCTATGTGTTAATTTGGTCCTGCCCTCCTCTCTTCAAGGAAGGCCCAAGACTGTTCAAACTAGGGATGTGAACAGTTAAACAATTAATTGTTTAACCAATAAACCCAGTGATAACCAGTTCTAGCTAACTGGTTATCATTTAGCATGGGGCGGGGTGCAGTTCATTAGGGGAAAGGTGGGGAGGGAAGCCGCATCGTGTTCCAACAGGAACCAGAAGGTGGCAGGACAGGCGGGATGGAGGGAGGAGTGAGGATGAGAGGGAAAGGGGGAACTAGTACCTATAGCTAGGCTCCATGGACCCCAGTGCAGCTGCTTGCAGCCTCTCCGCCCCCTGCCACAAGGCCTGGCAGGGTAAGGTGGAGGTAAGGGGTTGCAGGGTGGTTCCCCGGGGCCTGCAACTCAGCCCCATAGTGCACCCTGTCCCATCCACATCCAGGCCCAGAGCACTGTACCTTGCTTATTGTGAGGCGCAGCCTTGGAGAGCTATGGCCCTGGGGAGTCACTGACCCCGCCATACCTCAGAGGGCTTGAAACACCCTGCTGGAGCCAGGCAGAACAGCCCCACCTGGGCCAATCTGGGGGTTGCCATACTGATTAATCATTTGATCACTGTAATTACAACTGGTTAAACAGATATTTTTTAAATTGGTATTTACATCCCTAATTCAAAGCAATAATCTCTTCTATCCAGAGCCTATCCTCTCCAGACTCAATTAGGTCAGGTCCACCAGATTCCACCTGAGCCTCTTGCCCAGTTCCATATCTCGGGCTGCAGGGGCTGGTTTGTTTCAGACTGCTGGATACTCTGCATGCAGAGCTCCTTTGGCAACTCCATTCTGTGGTTCAGTTTTGATAAGGAAAGAATGGTTCCTTACCTTACAGGTTTTTCAAGATATTTTTTCTACATGGACCCCACTCTTGGTCCCACATAAACATTTGGCTAGCAGTGACCATAATAGCCACATATATACCCAAGCCTACTCCCTCCAATGACTCTCCTAAAGGCAAAAAGGACCTGTTGGCAGGAAGCATCACTAAGGTGCTTCACCACCCATTACACTAAAGCAGAGGTGGGCAAAATACAGCCCTTGGGCTGGATTCAGCTCGCCAACCCATTCTATTGAGCCTGCAGGGACCCTCCAAAAAACAATTATAAACAGTCCATGGCTGCCCCTGTCATGCCACTGGACCAGGCAGGCTCTGTGCAGCACTCCTGCTGGGAGCCCCATGTGGAAGCACCAAATGTGGTAGCAGGCAACTGGCCAGCTGGTAAGTGGGAGGGGAGTTCCTACCTGCAAGAAGGGCGGGTGATGTGGGGTTTGTGGGTGGGTGTAGAGGTCTGTGGGGGTGGGATCCCCTGCTACAGCACCCCAACCCCCAACCCCATGGTGCAGTTCCCACCACCACCATCAGCAGGCTGCAGGCCCTCAGAGCATTCATAGCCCATGGCAGGCAGTTTCCCAGCAGCGCATGGTTCGGCTGAATCCCAGGTGCTGCAGGTGGCAGGACAGAGCTAGCTCAACCTGCTGGCACATGCCTTCAAACCAGACCAGGCTGGCTCTCTGCCAGCACATGGGGTTTGCTGCACTACATGTGGGAGCTGCGCACCAACGGGCCAGGCTGCCTCCATGACTCCATGTGGGGCTTCTAGCACTTCAGCAGGGAGCCGCATATGGAGTTACGGAGTCCACCTGGCCTGATGGTGCGTGGACTGTAAGCCGCAGGGAGTCATGCACCATCAGGCCAGGCCGAGACGGCTCCATGCTGCCACATGCAGCTTCTGGGATTTCCGCTATAGCTGCATACCACCAGGGGACTCTGCCTGCTGTGGGCCATAACCGTGCTAAGGGCCTACAACCTGCTGTTGCTGCTGCCAGCAGTGGCGGGGGCTGCGCACCATGGGGGAGTTGTGGAGGGAAGTGTAGTGGGGCCTACACACCCCACACTCACCCATACAGACTCCCACACCCCCCCACAAACTCCACACCCCCCTTCACAGTGCCCCCACAAACCCCATCCCC